GGGGGGGGGGAATTTGGTGGTTTGTGGTGGGGATTGTCACATTAACATGCTAACGTAGTATCTGGTGTTAAGAATTATATACTGCAAGCGAAGCATCGGTTCCACGAAAAGATGATGACGTGTTCTGTCGGGTTATCACCACCTGACATACCAACACGCGACCACAGAAATCGACCTTCAGTCGCTCCTAGTTTAGAGTTTCCCCAATTTGGAAATCAAACATGTCTGTAGTCAACGAAAATTAGCTGAATACCTTAATTTCTGCAACTTGCAGCTTGACATTGCAATCCATGAATCTAACCGACAAGTGCATTCCATACCATACGCATGCCTTCATCCGAGTGACTTTAGAGCTCAAAGGCCAACAACGAAGAATCGAAACTGAGCAAATATTATTCCGTCGCCTGGCGTTTGCATCGGCGGTGGCCATCTTGCCCATCCAGATGTAGCAGAACACACGATAAACGGATGGGACGGGTGGGTGACGTTCATATCCAGCCCTGCAATCTCCAGGTCGTAATGAGCTGACAAAATGTATTTCAAAGTGCTTGTCGCACATTTTAACCACACAGTACCCAACACTCGTTAAAAATATCGATGACTAGTCGGAAGAACGACCATGACAAGCCTGTCACGACGCAGATGACGGTCATGCACGTCTGCGTCGCACTCGTTCACTTCTCGCAGCGCCAGGCAAATTGACAAGACAGGACGGCCAGTCAGGCAGCTGATTCGACCTGTCGGCGGTGTTCCACTGTGCTCCGTGAGCACTCCTCTGGGACGGAGGCCCTCCGCAACAATAACAGCGCAGGTCGTCAGCTGGCGGCATTGCCAATGACGACTCGGACTATCCAAAAAGCAATCATAATCACTAAAAACTATCGTAATCATCTCGAAAATACAAAACGGCGCATCTAGTGCGCGCAATTGGCCTCGGGCCCAATTTCAGAGTTAACGACGACAAACACGGACCCGTAAGGACGTCAGTGATTGACGATAGACAAGCCAGCTATAAATAGCGTAATCATTTACTGCCGCCACGACCTTTCTCTGCCTGCAGAGTTCACTGACGAAAATATACGTAGATTCGTGGTCGGTATTGCACGACGTAACAAGGGTGGTAACAAAATATAGTTATTGCCTTTGATTGCGTCTTCTAAGGCTTAGAGGTCACGCCTATCAGAAGAACCTGCTATAGGTCTACTAAAAAGGCATTGGCAGACATCATATGCGCCTGCGCACATCCTCAATGCACAGAGTGTACTCATTTACGCCCCCCTGAGCGCAGCTCCGGTGTGCCAGCATGCCACGCGTCCAAAAGCAGCGGATCGGCGGCGTCCATTCCATCGGCCCCGAAGATAGCGATCTGGCGGCGTCTGGCGGGCGCCAGCTGTAACCTGACCGCGGAGCCTGTCGAGCCAACTGTGACCTGACCGCGAGGCCTGTCGAGCAACTGTGACCTGACCGCAGAGCCTGTCGAGCCAACTGTGACCTGACCGCGGAGCCTGTCGAGCCAACTGTGACCTGACCGCGGAGCCTGTCGAGCCAACTGTGACCTGACCGCGGAGCCTGTCGAGCCAACTGCCGAGCCAGCCGCAGGCGCCGGTGGCGGTCCTTTGCCGCCTCCCCGCCGGCGTCACAGGGTGCGGACCTGCCCCGGCCGACGGGCTGGCGTCACAGGATGCGGACCCGCCCCGCCCCGGTCACAGGATGCGGACCTGCCCCGGCCGGCGTCACAGGATGCGGACCTGCCCCGGCGGCCGGCGGGCTGGCGTCACAGGATGCGGACCTGCGTGGCTCGGCTGAGCGCGCGGCCCAGCGCCCTCAGAGCGACGATGTCGAGCAGGCCGATGCCGTGCCAGGTCTTGACCCGGCCCAGCCGGCAGAGCGAGGCACAGCGGCGCAGCAGCAGACTGGCGCCGCGCAGACCCAGCTGGGCGGGACCGATCTCAAGCACCTGCCGACATACAGCGATGCGATTTACGACTGGTGGTGTGACGCTGGCGGATAGGAGCACTGGTAGACAGACCACTGGCAGACAGGCGGCGCAGCAAGGTCCTGTCACACCGCCGGCAGACAGGCGGCGGCAGCAAGGTCCTGTCGCACCACCTGCAGACAAGCGGCGGCAGCAAGGTCCTGTCACACCGCCGGCAGACAGGCGGCGCAGCACGGTCCTGTCACACCACCGGCAGACAGGCGGCGGCAGCGAGGTCCTGTCACACCACCTGCAGACAAGCGGCGGCAGCAGGGTCCTATCACACCGCCGGCAGACAGGCAGCGGCAGCAAGGTCCTGTCACACCACCTGCAGACAAGCGGCGCAGCACGGTCCTGTCACACCACCGGCAGACAGGCGGCGGCAGCAAGGTCCTGTCACACCGCTGGCAGACAGGAGGCGGCAGCAAGGTACTGTTACATCGCTGGCAGAGAGGCAGCGGCGGGGAGGTATTGTTTCTCCACTGCAGATATATTTTTATGCCAACTACGCAACTGACAGAAAGACAGTATATCAGAGAGACGCAACTGTCACATCACTGACAAAAAATAACACTGTCACACAACTGGCAGCCCAGTACAATTCTGTCATGATGCTGGAAAATTGTCACCGTCACACCATTGGCTGAAAGACGGTGCCGTGACACTGCCGGTGGAGAGACGACACCATCACATTGCTGACAGAGAAACGGTGCCGTCATACGACTGGCAGAGACAGTATTGTTCTGGCCGAGGGACGACACCGTTGCTCTTGACCGGTAGAGGGACACTACCGGAATATTAATGACAGAAGGATGTCACTATCACACCGCTGGCACAAAGACGATAAGGTCACCCCACTAGTATTGCCTCGCTTTGAGTGTGATGTGACAACCGTTGTAAGTATCTGATGTGCGAATATGCGATCTACTTTCAAATTCTACAGCAATGGCTGGAATGGAGCCGCCGACACATACATTAGCAGGATCGATGCCACAAGTTCCTAAAGCGGCTGTGTGGCTACTGCTGTAGTGGCTAAAGCGGCTGTGTGGCTACTGCTGCCACAAGTTCCTAAAGCGGCTATTTGGTCCGTGTCGCGTGACGGGCGTTTGAACAAATGTTCACGTCTCGTTTATTGTTCGGTGGAAGCGGGTGCACTGACGGCCTAGTGGGAGCAGCATGTTTCATGTTCATCGCTAACGTTCATCGTCGAACCGTCTGTTCTTCTAGAGAAGATACATCTGGCTGTTTCCCCTCGGCAGCTCCGCAATAAGATTCTTCTTCATTCGCAGTTTGCTAGGGCGAGGGCATTTGGAGGCGGTCTGTTCCATCGCGCTCCGAAACTGTTACGGATTCCCAGGCGCCCACTGCGGTGTGGATAGTTGGGACCACAGGCTTCTGCCCATTAAGTAACGATGGCAATTATGCATGCAGTCAGCGGTGTAGTGAGGTTTGCGTTGAAGTGTGTGTGTTTTAGTGCTTATGGACTTAACCTTAATGGTAATAATAGGGGTTTTACGTGTCATCGAATGCCAGGGTCGTTTCTAGACGGGAAGCCCGTAACAAGGACCACGTGGTATACGAAAGTGGCGCGGCAGGGACGGGCGCTTTATCTTTATGTGCTTTACTTTACGGTTTCCTGTGCCCTTGGGCATGCACTGGTAAGGGATCTGATGGCATTCCAAACCAAGCCAAACCAAAACTACCATCACAGCACCGTCAGGGAGACGCACCGTTTCGCCACTGGCAGAGAGACGATGCCACTACACCACTCGCAGAGACACAGCACGCTCGTAGCACTGGCGGAGAAACGATCCAGTAGCATTACTGACAGAGGCGGTCTGTCGCACTGCTGGTGAAGAGATAGTTTCTTCAGTCCCACTTCAGTGAGGGTGTGACAGTACCGGTAGCGGCGGTGATGACGATAGAGCCAATGCTACATTTTCAGGAAACTGGAGGGGCTCAGCCCCCCCCCCCCCTCCTCCCGATTTCTGCGCCCTTGGCAACGTCACACCATTAACAGAGATGGCATGTCATATTGCTGACATCACACCACTGGCAGAGAGCAGATGAATCACGTCAATGACAGAAATGGTGCCGTCACAACGACAGAGCGACGGAACCGTAATGCCGATGATCTTGGGACGACATACCCTTGTGTGTGTGCCATTCTGGCTTGGCAACAGACTCAGCTATAGAGCCTATTCGGCATCGCCTGCACCTGGCTATTCTGATCGAGTGTTCTCTTTTCTCTTGTTTTTCCGTAATTATGTTCCTACCGATTACATTTTGAACAGCTCGCGATGCTCTGCAAATTCGTTGATTTGTATGCACAGCTCCATCATCGTCAGCGTCATCATAATGACAAATCGCTGTCCCAGAACCCACAACGCGTCAAGCCGCCCACGAGTGTGACATGTCACATCTGACCTGAAGTGGGACGTCCGAATGCATGATTAACCAGCACATGTTCCAAGCAAATATTAAATTAATGAAATGTGCCAACGTTCTCACGAAAGCGTCGCAAGCTACAAGCCGCTTCTGCCAGCCTGTTTTCAAGGAAGAATATTAACTCCGGCCCGTTCAGGGCATACGTTTTTTCAGACAAACCGTCGCAATTTTCCGATCGGGCGCGCGCGGACCGTTCGGCGTCCAACACCCAACCATGCGAACATGCCGCCGCAGAGCGCAGCGGAAAAGCGCCCCGCCGAACGAACGCGACCACAGTGTCCGCCAGCGACCGCACAAACCTCCAGCGGCCGCTCAAACCTCCAGCGGTCGCACAAACCTCCAGCTCGGAGAGCGGGTTCTGCGCCAGGATCGCCTCCAGGTCATCATCGACGAGCGGGAAGGGCCGGCAGCGGACGGTGCGGAGGCGGGCGGCGCGCAGCAGCACGGCTCGCAGCGCCGCCGCCTCGGCCGTGACGTCGCGACCCCAGGCTGCCGTTACGCCCGACAGGCAGTCGTACTCGAACGTGTGCAGCCGGCCGAGGAGGGGCGCGCCGGCGGCAGTCAGCGCGCGCGCCGCCTCGCCGTCGGCCAGCGTCAGGCTCGGCAGCTTGAGCACCTCCAGGTGCGGGCAGTAGACGGCGATGAGGGCCACGTCCAGCGTCTCGTACACGTCGCCAGAGATGGCGAGCGTGCGCAGTTGGTGGCCCTGCCGCCAGAGCGTGGCCGCCAGCTCCTCTTGCGTCAGCAAGTACGGGTCCTTGCAGCGGAAGGTGAGGTGCTGCAACTGCGGCAGGCACGTGACGTCACGCAGTGACACGCCCACCTGCTGGAAGACGAGCGTGACCGAGCTGAGCTGCGGGCAGAGCCGCGCGAAGTTGCGCAAGTGGCCGCCGCTCGCCTGGAACTCGGGCAGCTCGCGCAGCCCGAACTGCGCCGGCACGTCCAGCTGCTCAAGCAGCGCGATCGTCTGCGCGCAGCCGACGTGCTCGAGCAGCGGTAGCGTCTCCAGCACGTGGAGCACGCCATCGACGGTCACGTCGGTCTTGTGCAGCGCCAGCCGGCGCAGCGGCGGCGGCTGCGGCCGCTCGCGGCGCGCCACCGCCACCGCCAGCTGGCGCAACCCGGCGTCCGTGACGGCCGGGCAGCCGCTCACGTCCAGCTCGCGCAGCTGCGCGCACTGCCAGCTGACCGCCTTCAGCAGCGCGTCGGTGGCGCCGAGCAGGCGTAGCCGCGCCAGCCGCGCGCACGTGCGCGTCAGCTCGCGCAGCAGGCGCTGCGCCTCGGCGCCCGGCTCGGGCACGTACACGGTGAGGCTGCGCAGGCCGTCGCCGTGGCGTAGCACGAGGCACAGGTCGGCCGGCGGCGGCTGGCCCGGTCGCGGAAAGCTGAGGTAGACGGCGCGCTCGACGACCACCTCGGCGCTGAGCAGCACCAGCGCCGTGTTGGTCAGCTGGTCGCGCGTGTCCGTGTCGCCGGCGTCGGACGGCGCCAGCGCCAGGTGCAGCATCTCGGCGCGCAGCGCTGCTGGCAGTGCCGATAGGTAACGCTGTAGCTGCCAGAGGCCAGCCGGCTCGGGCGCCAACCGCACCCGGCCGCGCAGAGCCTGCAGCCAGTACTTCTGGCCGATCTGGCGCAACGGCAGCGGACGGTTGTCCGACACCACCGCGTCCTCCATTGCCGGCGCCGGCCGATCGGTCCACTCGCCCGTTGGAGGGAACAGGTATGTGCTGGGAAAAGAGCTGCTGCACACGGTCGGGGCTCCCGCCCGTGAAAGCAGACGGGGGCTGAACAAACCGGTCTTCGGATGGTGGGCGGGTCCCGCCGGCAGAGCCGCGCGCCACAGCAGCGGTTAGTCACCTCACCCAGGCACCACTCTCGTCACCACTGTTTTCGTGGTCCATGGCGATCACTCCGTCGCCTGCTCTTCGGTCACTGTCACCGCGCGCCACCGCCGCCCGCGGTGTCCGCCGCCACTGGTGACGGCATCCGCAGCTCGACTGCCGGCGTCAGCAGGCGATCCGCACGGCTGGCGACGATGGCCGGCCGCAGCCGAGGGCGGGAGGGGGCGCAACGGTACACCGCGGGGATTCACTCGCGCCCAGGCGCCGCCATCATTCTGCAGCGCCACAACCGGAGGCGCGCCCGCGCGCGTCCGTATAATTAGGACGGACTGCGGCGCGGGCTACCGCGCGGGGCCGACCGCACTAGCCTTGGCACTACTTTGTGTAAGGGCTTGGCACGCGGCGAGGACGCTATTTTTACGGGAACGTCGCCAAAGGCTGGCAGGCGCCGGTGGCCGCTGTGAAGGCAGGTGTCCGCGGCTGCGGACCGCGCCGCAGTTCGTGCAGCGCGAGCCACGTCCGACCCCGCTCTGAGCCGTGACATGCCCCCGATGCCGTGCAGCGCGGGCGGCGGCAGGCCCGGCGCCGGCTGGCACCGGCGACCCTGAGAGGTCCGTGCCAGCGTCCCGGCTCCCGAGGCGACGCGGGCCGTCGCCGTCGACGAGTCAGCTGACTGGCCTTGACATCGGAGACGGCGCGGGCAGCGTTGCGTTACATGAAGCGGACCGCCGCTACGCCCTGCTCGCAGACGGCTGTAGAGAGGGGTGTGGAAGAGAAGCAAGCGAGGAGCCGTGTGCGAGGTGATAAAAAACACCTATCTCCATTACCTCCATTCTCTCTGTCTGTCTCAAAAAACCTCGACCAAATCGCAGGCAGCAATTAATCAAACAAAATAGGATCGCTGTGAGCAGCAATCAGACAGCAAAACTGACCGCTGATGATGCATGCGTTCGAGAAGGATTTTATAGCCTCGTCACCATGGGACTCCAAATCTTTGGCATCACACCAACGGGTCAAGCTTGGCGTGTCATCCTATCAAAACATACCAAAATGCCAAGGGGTGTAATTATTTAAGCCAGATTTGATCAGTTCATTTTCACATCTCATTTCTCCATCGTTTGTGTAAAAATCCCCTCCTCTCTCTCTCTCTCTCTCTCTCTCTCCCCCCTCCCTCTCTCTCTCTCTCTCTCTCTCTCTCTCTCTCTCTCTCTCTCTCTCTCTCTCTCTCTCTCTCTCTCTCTCTCTCCTCTCTCTCTCTCTCTCTTCTCTGTCTCCCTGCTGTTCTCAGCAGTACACCAAATGAATGGATCTACGTGGTGTTCTGTATTAGATTTTCTTTTTACAGAAGGTCAAATACCTGCTCAAAATGTTTCTTGGGGTTTTCACACCAATGCTCGCTCTCGACATCACAGAAAAGGCTAGATCATAAATAATACCTCATTCTAAATCATGATCATCCAAATTGCACAGAATCATTTCAGCATGAACTCCCGTTGGGAACGTTTGATTCGAGGCAGACATCTTGCTCCGGTGGGGTGCCTAGTGATTCTAATTGTTGTTGCTGAAAGCTCCTTGGAGCTGAGATCGGCGACTGCAGAGACATTTGCTCGTATTGAACGTAATGTCTGGGCCGGACTGGGGCGCTGACCGCTGTCGGGCTGCTCGGGCTAGATGGCATCGACCCATGGGCCCGTTCTTAGCCTCGTTCGAAGCTTGATCTCAGCTGTCGCTACTGCCGCTGCCGCTACTGAAGGGTTTTTGATGGTTTTCCCTCGCTTAAGATGTCGAGAAACTGTGGGTGGCCCTCGGTATAATTTCTGCACAAAGAGCGTTGTAAAAGCTATAAAAGAAAGATGCCGTGAGCGGCATGGAACGAGCGAGCCTGAACCAGCTGTAAAGTTTCCATTTGTCATTAAGAAGAGGGGGTCGGAAAATAAGGTAATGGAGCGGACGCCTTTGGCAACCAGCACCGATGAGCTCGACTAAATCGTAAGAAAAGCACCTTTCATGAGAATTTGCAGGCTATGTCTAGTGCTGTAGAGTTTTAGTGCTATTCCATATCTGCAGCTACTTGAGAATAGGATATTATACGCCTGAACACGCTTGACAATGATTTTTGAGGGCATCGATGAACACGCGTTGATGTATAACTTCAGAAAATGGGATCCAAACTTTATAAAGGTTGCAGAGTGCACCCATGTTGATTGCATATTAGTAAAAATGAACAGGACCACATGCTTGTGCAGCTGTCATGTGCCAGCCTCTCTCAGCTTGAGCCGCATCCTACTATGCTTGAGATGGATTCTTGAGCTGAAATGGGCCGTTTTCCGGTCGATCCCTGGCACACTTATGATGTTGGAAAGAGCCATGTTTCGGACAGTGTTGAGGTCTGTCAGCGAGTTGTGGTCGGTACGTTTTTCCTCACCATGAGGCTGGTAAGCCACCTGTACCCGACATTCGCCCGCACAACACAGTTGTTTTCGCGTCTTCGTCCATTCTGGTTGTTAAGCTCTGCCGAACGGCGCATGTCGTATCAGCTGCGCATGGAGCATGTTGCATCAGCTGTATATGTGGCATGTTATATAAGCTGTTGTGTCAGCTGTGCCTCCAGCATGTTGTATCAACTGTGCATGGGGCATTTTGTATCGGACGTGCATGGAGCATGTTGCATCAGCTGTTGTATCAGTTGTGCATGTGGCATGTTGTATCAGCGGTGCATGGGACATTTTTTGTCAGCTGTGCATGCGGCATGTTGTATCAGCTGTGATTGAAGCATGCTGTATCAGCTGTTGTGTCGGCCGTGTATGAAGCATGTTGTATCAGTTGTGCGTGGGGCATGTTGTATCAGCTGTGCACGGGACATGTATCAGTGATAAAATGCATCGGCAATGATATCATTGACTGATCTTCTGCCAATCATTGGCTGACATGATTTTCAAGACCCATTGTCACCCATACTTAATAATTTCCGCCTGAGCAGGGGAACCGATGCGGCAGTAGGTGTAAAACAAATACTGATTACAAAGTGCGGATATTTAGCATGTCGCAGTCGAAAAGAGCTGCGGCATAGCAGTGACTAATGCATTTCATTTATCAATCGGAACGCCTTTGCTGGTTTGCGATGCAGCCTTCTTAAACAAAATAAGCTCAGTACAGCTTCACCCGTCACGTGATATAATTTGCCAAAAGGTGGGTCAAGCTTCCTGATCTGAAATGGGTTCATTCAGAAATCATTCACCAAAGGGAATAATTACTTCTTCTGGAGAAGCATTTGGTGCTTCAGAAAATTGAGATATTTACATGTATTTACAGGTAAAGGTTCATACACACGAAAGTCGAACTTTCTACACGCTTACTGACTTGGACACGGCCGCAAAATAGGTGATGCTTTACTAACAGTACCAACTATAAGGTAGGTATTTTATAGTAGCTCTAAGCCTCTTCACTGATTTTAACTATATCTTCTGAAAATCTAAAGATATTGCTCTGAGTTCCTGTACTGGAGACATTCAATGGTGTTTGCTGTCTCGTTCGATCCTGCAGAAAACTACTGGGGCCAGACTCAAGACTTTGGACAAGATAGCGACACAGACTCAGACTAGGACTCAGACTCTGGCCCTCACTCAGGCTCTGAGGGCTTAGACTCAGACTCGGACTTCCGGGACTTGAAGTGATTGGACTCCGAGTCGTGTAATTTGACGAGTCTGGACCCGGGGCTCGGAAATAGACTCAACAACCAGAACACGGGCTCAGTTTGTTGGACGCGGACCTAAGCCTGTACATATTTATACATTTCAGCATACATGTAGGTGTGTGGAGAGTAGCGTACGGTTTGTGTTGCAGCCACGCGAAAATTTTGTTGAAACTAGCACGATGACACCACTTTGCTATTAAAAGAAACTCATCCTAGTAGCTCTGCCACTACAACTTTTCTTCGTCTCTTTTACCATGCCATAGATAGGCGTGCCTTTTTAAACGCTGTTGCGTGAGCGTAATAACGCCTACCATGTACGTAAGGTATTTTCCAAACGGAAGCCAAATGGTCTGAGTGGATGGCTTAAGGTTCGGAAGACTCACCAAACAGAGCCTTTTGTGCGTGCCCAGAACCTTCCATTCAAGCTGCGCTGTGCCATCAAGCCGATCCATTTCATGAGATAATCTTTCTCGGGGATTGATGTGAGATATTACATGATATTGTGTGATCTTATTTTCCTCTTCAGTCAGCTGTCGTCCTCTTCGGCCAGTTGACAGGTCACCTTTCCACATCGCTCGGGTCAGACAATGCGACCGTTTTAGTAGTCAAAACGCGGTTTAGCAGTCTGTAGCGCGGTTCGTATTGAAGACTTCGGAGTTAACAAAAGGCATTACACATCATCGACAAGCTGAGCGTGTGTCCAACAGATCACAATTTGCAAAAGATCCACTCTTAGCAAGACGTGCCGCCCTCGCTTTGGCGCCCTTGTCGGTACGTTGGGCCGACCACTGCTGAGATATCCGACGTTGAGCTGCGGTCACGTGTCCAGTGCAGGACCACCTCATACACGACACTGGCGGCCTGCGCTCGGCCGGTATCCCGCCAGCAGTGTCCAGCACGGAACCACCTCATACACGACACTGGCGGCCTGCGCTCGGCTCCCGCCAGCAGTGTCCAGCACGGAACCACCTCATACACGACACTGGCGGCCTGCGCTCGGCTCCCGCCAGCAGTGTCCAGCACGGAACCACCTCATACACGACACTGACGGCCTGCGCTCGGCCGGTATCCCGCCAGTAGTGTCCAGCGCAGGACCACCTCATACACGACACTGACGGCCTGCGCTCGGCCGGTATCCCGCCAGTAGTGTCCAGCGCAGGACCACCTCAAACACGACACTGGCGGCCTGCGCTCGGCCGGTATCCCGCCAGCAGTGTCCAGCACAGGACCACCTCATACACGACACTGGCGGCCTGCGCTCGGCTCCCGCCAGCAGTGTCCAGCGCAGGACCACCTCATACACGACACCGGCGGCCTGCGCTCGGCCGGTATCCCGCCAGTAGTGTCCAGCGCGGGACCACCTCATACACGACACTGGCGGCCTGCGCTCGGCCGGTATCCCGCCAGCAGTGTCCAGCGCAGGACCACCTCATACACGACACTGACGGCCTGCGCTCGGCCGGTATCCCGCCAGCAGTGTCCAGCACAGGACCACCTCATACACGACACTGACGGCCTGCGCTCGGCCCGGTATCCCGCCAGCAGTGTCCAGCGCGGGACCACCTCATACACGACACTGGCGGCCTGCGCTCGGCCGGTATCCCGCCAGCAGTGTCCAGCGCAGGACCACCTCATACACGACACTGGCGGCCTGCGCTCGGCCGGTATCCCGCCAGTAGTATCCAGCGCGGGACCACCTCATACACGACACTGGCGGCCTGCGCTCGGCCGGTATCCCGCCAGCAGTGTCCAGCACAGGACCACCTCATACACGACACTGACGGCCTGCGCTCAGTCAGCATCCCGACAGAATTGGCATCCAGAAGAGAGGTAAATAATGGAGCATTACTGCATTCATGGTGGAAGGCAGCCATGAGCTGACCCTGAGGTGATTCTTGTGCGGACCCCGAAGAGCGGTCCGTACAGGCACCGCTATTCGGGGTGTGTGCGAACGCTCGTGCGGGCTCCCGGCTGCCATTCGAGGTGAAGTGATGAGTACAGACGGAGAGTCAGATGTCTCGCGTCTCTTCCTTGGGAAATCTTCTTTGGTCTCGCGAATCTTCCTTGGGGAATCCTCTTTGGTCCCGCGAATCTTCCTTGGGGACGCCTGTCAGTGATCTTACGCATATTTGGTCATTCTCCACGCCTCTCCCACGGTTGCGCACTGGTTATGCTAAGCGAGAACTCCCATCCCCGTGGCTACGCTATGGTAGGAGAAACGTTCGAAAAAGTAACATCCGTTTGGCTTTTAATCGAGCTAGAGATGCGAAAAGGAGTGAAACGTGTTGCTTTTCATCAGGGAAACCAACGCCATCCGGATCCAGTTTTCAAATATTTCAAAAAACTAGCATGACAACCATGTGTGAGCGTGACGTCACACCGCCCCAACTTGCTGCCAAATTGCCCAAAACCCTTGTTACGCTCTGATTACGCCCCATCAAAACACCATTCCACCTCTAATGTAATACAATTTATCGTCAACACTTCATAAATAAGGCGTGACGACGTGCACTGCGTTCCTTCATAAACAAAAATGGTCACCTTCAAAGAGTGACATCGGAGACTGGGGTAGTCAATAATCGACCGTCTTCACTACACAGCGGCCGCACAGCCTTGAGCAATCACGACATAGCTCAATCTCAAACGTTCTGTTGGCCAAATAAATCACGAGACCCCAGGTCAGATTTGCCCCGCATGCGAGTCGACACGTCAAAAGTTTGGCAAGTCCCATCTCCCAGACATCCGTTGGACGCAGCCCACGCTGCCATCTAGGGGACATTTAGGGCACTAAGCACTCGTCTGCCGACCGCTGGAGTCTCAAGAGCGTGGAAGGCGGTATGCCAGTCGGTGCGCGCGCCGCTACGCCAGAGGCCTGCCGCCACGCGAGCCCAGGGAGGCGTGCCCGGAGGGCGCTGTGCCGTACAAGTGTACACTGAACAAGCTGGCTCCCCTCGGCCGGGGCGTACAGCCGCGAGGCGCGGCACGGAGCGAGGACGGCGCGCTGGGCACTACGCGGTGACGTGTTTGTTGTGTCCGAAGGTCGGGGCGGTCGTCGCCGTGGGCAGCCCGGGCCCGTGGCGTCTGAGGAGCCCGCCGCTCGCCGTAGCACTCGGTGGTTCGGAAGGGCGGCTGGTGGCATTCTGCGCGTGAGAGTGCGGAAGGCTTGCAGCATAGAAGGTAAATTTGTTTGTCACGAGTGCGTGTCTCCATAGGCTTAAGAACCGGTTGTCAATGGGACTTAAGTTTTCCCCACTTTGTATGCAATTCTTTAACTTAAAGTGTTAACGTAATTCATTAGTTCTACAGTGTGTCGTGGGAGTGACTGGCCGCACAAATGGCTTGTCCGTACATTTCGGTATGTCCCTGCGTCGCCAGTCATTTCGGTATGTCCCTGCGTCGCCAGTCATTTCGGTATGTCCCTGCGTCGCCAGTCATTTCGGTATGTCCCTGCGTCGCCAGTCATTTCGGTATGTCCCTGCGTCGCCAGTCATTTCGTATTTCGACGCTGGCAGCTGCAGGATGCATGGGTGTTGACATTTTCTTTCCCCGCGCAATGATTCGGGAAATGGGAATGGATGTTTTGTTACCGGTTGAGAATTGCGATAAGGAGTGTGGCCTTCAAAGCCAGCAAGGCCACGATGGAAGAGACATCAGGTACAGACTTGGGGAGTATGGAACCTCTGCCTCGGGTGAGCAGGTGGCTCGTGATCAGCTGGTGTTGGCGACGCCCGGCCGGCTGTGCGCCCTCGACAATAGGCCTCACCTGGCTCTAGGGGCGGCACCACCGGCACTTGTGACAACCGGGGCCGCTCCCCCCTGCAAGTTGCCAGAGGCGGGACGTGTATTGTGGCCCCTAGACGTATCAGAAGGCCCTACCGTGCTGACGGAAGGCTCCAGATGACCGAGAAAATATATTCAATTAAATAGAGAACCTTTACGGCATGCAGGAGACAATGTTTGCCCATGAGGGGTCCTAGCCGGCTAAAGAAGGTCTATTGGTTGACAGCAGACCTCAGATGATCCGAAAGGTTGTCCATCAAAAACCTAGAAGGCCCCATGAAAAACAGGACAAAAACATTGGCGGTCTACGAGGAGGCGCCAATAAGAAAAATGGGATGTCCAGAGGACCGAAATGTTTTATTCGATTATGTACGGTACTCGTTGGCGCCGACCCTGCCCTGCCCAGATTACGGCTCATCGCTGCCTAATTAACGTCGAACCAACTATTCATTTATAGACTTTTAAAGGAAGTAGACGCATTTTCTGCACCGTGCAAAGGTCTGCACTTCCGTGGGAAACGCGTGCTTCGTGCAATCGATCACAGTTTTGGAGGGCTGCGTCGCCCGTCCGTCTTCTGTCCCCGCCAATTCCTATTGAATGTTCCCCGTAAATCGCCTTTCTGGTGTCAAAGTAGGACATATTGGCTGTACCTACTTCGGCTGAACACTGCACGGCTGTGTCAGAGTTAGGAAGAGTACTGTCCGACAATTTTTAAAAAAGATAATTCGATCAGTTTTAAAACCAACATGTTTGTTTGTATTTTGAGCGCGTAGCGAATGAAACGCAGAATGTGAGTATCGCGACAAATTACATAAACTGCATGTGAGTCTAATACACGCTGGTAATCAGCGAGCTCACTAAATAGGTAGCTATTGAGTCTAATGCATGCTGTTAATTAGCGAAAAGGCACGTGACAAATTAGCGAAGGGTAACGATTCTTCAACACAGCTGTAGATTGAACACGTTTATTGTAGTGAAAACTAACCGCATGCATGATGACCACACGCTGGAGGCTACTGGGTGCAATATCATGTTTGATCTGCCATCGACCCCATCCTCATCCTCTCATCCCGGTATTTTTCCTAGCCCAGTGAAATAAGCCGTCATCTAATTGTCAGATCGTGACAATTCCAGTGACCAAATTTCGACCATATTTCGGGGCTCGGGGAGAGATCACAGCAGCTCAAATGGAATGGTAATGGCGGGTGCGACATCTGCCATTGGCAGGTGTACCACTTGCCACAAAGAACGTTTCCGCAGTAGGCGTAGAAATATCGTTTGATGTCTGCACGCTATTGTGAAAGTGAAGAATGCGCCTCATCATTTGCGCTATCATGCTATCAATATCACCACTGATGAAGTGTGGTGGGATGCACTGCTTAGTCGGGTTTCTTTCCCTAGGTGTCGCCATTCGGCTGTGCGCGCCGTTCTTTTCGTCAGTGAATTATGCTGCAGGACGGAGATAACATGTGCTCACAGCGCACAGCCAGCAAGCATTACCGCATTCGGTAGCAAAAGACTGACTCGTAATTTTGACCCTCCCGATATTTAGCCTACGAAACTATAACCGCTTCAATGCTGCGTGCTGTTTGGTCATCTCATCAGCGGCACCATCCACGTCGGCATGGCGGCGGGAATGCGGCGTGTCTCCGATCGGGGGCTGGTCATCTCATCATCGGGCCCCACGTCGGTATGGCGGCGGGGTGCGGCGTGTCTCCGATCGGGTCTCCGTTCCACGAGAGAGGGCGAGCAGCGCTGTGCAGCGGAGTGGCGGCGACTTTTCACACCATAGCTTACGAGGGTAACTGTGAAAATCCAAAGCCACGACAGGGCTTCTGGCTCATTCCGAGTCCGCGATCTTGGCTGGCAGTGATACAAGCGAATGGGAAAGGCCAAAGATGGTTTTGAGAAGGCAGCTGTTTACCTTTGGTCAATCCCAGGAAAATGTGACGTCACGAGAGGATCGATGGTTCGATGACTTCACTTAAAGCTCATTCCAGTGCGTGCTGAGTCGTAGCCTTCAAACACAATTTTTGTTCAATATTCTACAACTGTGAACCCAATAATGAAAAAAATCTGCCGGGCGTGTGTGACTTACTGTCTGGAATCCGTCCTGATCTTTCACAGGCACGCTTAGTTTACCTTTACTAAGCGGGTAAGCACCAGCAGCTGGGTTTCTCACAAATGTCTGCCATCCCGGTGCTACGGAGAACCAGAGCTTGTAAATATGTGTCACACTACACAATTTCTGCCGATCCAGGTCACGAGGCCGACCTCCAGACATCGGTGGCCACCCTGCACAACATACCGCGGTGTCACTAGGGCGACTGTGCAGGACGAGCGGGGGCAGTTCCAGGGAAGGGGTGTCACCTTACACAGCACACATGGCTACCGTCGCAAGCCTGGCGATCGGCGGAATCAAGACAACAGCGACGACACTGGCTCGATGGTCGCACGGGTGTGTCCTGGATGCCGGAAGGTCCAGGACGGCCACGACACGGTCTCAGCGACTGCAGAGCTGGCCTCTGGTTCACGGAAAGTCTAAAAAGCCTCGAAGCTTTTTCGACGCGTATAGAGGTCTGCTTGCCGTTGGAGCGGGGAATTTAGGAAGGACATTGTGTAGAATGCCGGGGCGGAAGCTAAGGCAAGGCTTGCAGCTGTTGGGCAAATAAGGGACGTCGTGGTTGGCTGTAGCATTAGTCTCCTTAATCACAAAGCTTTGAAGCTCACGCGCTCTTCACAAGTCGCGTCATCAAATCCAGCAAATGAGGTGTTGTAGGATATGAACGTAAACGGTAGGAGTGGTGAGAACTACGCTGAATCCTATAAAGCTTAGGGGAACACTATTCTTGATATTCCTTGCTTTACGCTTAGGCTTGCTCAATTTGCTTATGCGAAGTCTGATGTGCTTCATGCGTAAGGTGTAATATGTTTTATTAGATAATGGGAGCGTATGGCCGCTACCCGTCTTTCCTGTTAGCGCGTTGCGCCATGGACGTTCCATGAGTGGTGGAATAGTGCCGTGCGCTCGCACGGGGCCTGGCGGGTCTTTCCTGTGAGCGCGCTCCGGCATGGGCGTTCCAAGAGTGTTGATGCCGTGCGCTCGCACGGGGCCTGACGGGTCTTTCCTGTTAGCGCGCTCCGGCATGGACGCTCCATGAGTGGCGGAGTGGTGCCGTGCGCTCGCACGAGGCCTGGCGGGTCTTTCCTGTGAGCGCGCTCCGGCATGGACGTTCCAAGAGTGCTGGTGCCGTGCGCTCGCGCGGGGCCTGGCGGGTCTTTCCTGTGAGTGCGCTCCGGCATGGACGTTCCAAGAGTGCTGGTGCCGTGCGCTCACACGGGGCGTGGCGAGCTCACCGCGGCTGCATGCGAGCGGGCAGGGGCGCACGGCGTCAATACTGCGCTGCACCGGACCGCACGCTGCGAGACCTCGCCGAGCTCCGACTGAATGACGCGACGACGTTCCGGGCCGCCGGTTAGCGGGGACTCACAAAGGCCGGCCCGGATGGCGTGTGGACGTGTGGACGTGGACAAACGAGCGGTGTCGTCCGCGGCCGCGGCTAGGTCGTACTGGCGGCGGTGCGCGGCCGCCCGTGGCGTGTGATGTTCGGCGGGCTGACCGGTGCCGGCGGAACGTCTCTTCGCGCCGGCGGAACGTCTCTTCACGTGGCTATGTGGGCGAACGGTGTGCTCTACAAACGAATATATCCTGGAATGGGTCAGTCTGTGGACGTGTGAACGGGATTCTTTTGAGCATACGTGTGTTGTGTTGACTACAAGACGTCGATGGTCGATGGCATGTAGTCCACATTAGGTCAGCAGGTCCGCAGACCTGCAGAGTTGTCCGTTGACGGTGGTGGATCGCGCGAATTACTGGTGGCTCCGTCACATTGCACATTGAGAAAGGGGTTTCGAGTGTCACGTAGTTCACAATTGCTCCCATTCTTCTACAGTATGAAAACCTTCGTTGTTTGCACTGGATTGGTCTGTAACTCATGACTTCGCACGTACGGTGTAGCAGTGTGCCCATTGCGTGCTCTGTGTGGAAACTTGCCACGGCTGGCGCAGAGCCAAGTTTGACCTCGGCGCGTCAACGAGTTTCAGTATTCGGACAACGTAAATTTTGCTCCTCCTTTTCTGCCACAAGCTAGAGATCGTTCCGCAATCAATGCACGCAAAATGATCGGTTTTGACTCATGTGATGATAGTGTGACAGTGCCTTAATTACGACATGTGACGAACGTGAGAACTGTGATCTCGCAAATCACCTTCGATTTGAAACCGATAAATGCAGAGCCCATGCTCCTTTGATTGAAGCGTGTAACAGGTGTCGTGCAAAATAGTGCAATTAATTCATTGACATTGATGAGATGCATGACGGATCTATATACGCATAG